AACACCTGGAGGACCCAATTCACCACAACTAAACAAACCTCGCTGCTCTTTTTTCAAATACCCATCACCCACCAACTAAACACACCTCTTCATCCAATTCCCATAACCCAAGTCATAAAAATCAAATCTATGGATGGCAAGAGTTCTATGAGATTATATTACGACCCGCTAGGGTTTGGGAGAGAAGTTGGAGAGGAAAGAAAGGAGTGATAAAATGTGAATAAGCTGGATTGAGAATCCTAGGGGTTGAGGTGGGGTTCTTTTTTCTCTTGGTTATGTATATTTGTGATCACAAATCCAACAAAATCCACAACTTCATGAAATACTGTCAAATCCTTGATTTTTTTTAATACCCCTAGATTTATAATCATTTTAAAAATCCCTATCAAAATCTATATTGACTACCCATAGATTTAGATGTATTTTTAAAATCCTCTCAAATCCTAATTTGACTACACTATGATTTCAAAGTTTTTTAAAATACTCTTTCAAAATCTTGATTGACTATACTCTGATTTGAAAGTCTATTAAAATCTGTATTAAAAATCTTGTGAAATTCTATCAAATCCTAATTTGACTATACTCCTTAAAGTTTGTGAGAAAATTTTTACAAATGAATTAGAAGTTTAGGGAGGATTTTGACAAAAAAATAGTGTTATCCACACTTACTTCTCACCAATACTTCATAATTTTAGATCGTTAGATCAAAAAAATTGAAAAAAAAAATCAATAATAAAAAATTAACAATGATCGGTCAAACTAGAAGTGCCCGCGTGTTGTATGAACAACGCAATGCCAATCACGAGAGAAAAGAATGGAGAGAAGTGTAGGTGGGGGACCCACACAGCATCTTTGAGAGACGCGGCGAAGCGAATGGATTAGAACAAATAGTTGATGTGTGTCCTTTTCCTACGTCTGCCTTTTTTATTTTCGAAAAAAACAAAAATAAAAATAAAAATAAAATAAAATAAAACTATAGGTGGTGACGCCGAGGAACCCACTTCCAACGGCGGAGGTTTTTGCCCGTGGATGGGGGCTGACGTGCACCGCACCATTTCTCGCTTTCTTTTTTCTTTTGGTCAAAAATTTCTTGCTTTTCTGGGTCCCACTTCTCCCCCACTTCAAATCCATCCGTTGATTCTCCTTTCGGTTGCGGTCCTCTCTTCCCTTTATCCATCCCTGCCTCGCCAGCCTCTGACACAAAACCTCCACCCTTATGTTTAGATGGCACGTGTTAGTTTTCTGATCTTCTACTCTTTGTACCTAAATATACCACTATCATAATAGAAAAACGATGCAACTCACAAATCACCATTTTCAAATTGAGTGAACTTCACCTTTGTTTTTTTCTTGATGAGAATGGTTCAATGAAGTTGAAGTGTATACATACGAATTGTTGATTTAACGATATTCAGTCTCTACTTAGTTAGAGGAGGTTTGAGATTGACTACATGAATGCAAAGATGATACATATTTTCTAGGAAGTTGAATTGTCATGTTATAGATGTGTTAACAACTTGTTGAAAAAATAGCTTATTATAAAATGTTGTGACTCATTCTCCACTTTTTAATGCATCTAAAATGGGACTAGCTGATGACTTCCTAACTGATGTTAGCTCTCGAGTTTTTCATCTCGACACTCAGTTAATGTTGTGGTCCACAGATTAGCTAAGTTTACTTTATATTATAATGCTATCGCTTTGCAAAAAGATCTTTTTGTATGGAAAATCTTAAAATACCCAAAAAAAAAGAAGAGAAAAATCAGGTTGATGCTTATCAGTTATGATGAATATAAGACTTTTTATTAATCTTGTTGGGGACGGGTGGGCAGTTGTATATTCGTCACATTATCATTTTTTTTTTAATAACCGTTGGTATCTACATCAAGGGATGAGGGAGTGGGATAAACTTTACAATGAGTTTATCATAATAATGTTGTTTAACTTCGCTTTTGGTGCGAATCGAACTTAAGACCTCTCACTTATGAGAGGAATATCAGTAGATCGTATGTAGTACTAAGTTGGCTCGTTACATTATCACTTAACATGTAATTTAATGTCAAATTTAAAAATTATATAATGATATATGACATTGCAGCTAAATAATAACTCTATATATAAAATTGCAATATTTTAAAGATATGTATATGGTTACATTGAACTCAAACTTGAAGATGCAAAGTATAATTTACTCTATCAATACGCACAAGATAAAGCAAATGGCATGGCATTTGCATTTCCCCAATCTTTGTGTTATCTCAAACAAGAGAAATGTTAAGGAGACTCTCTCAAAAGTGGAACTCTTTACCACTTCATGCTTGTGGCACAATGTTTTATAATGTCGGTATGAAAATTGATGTTAAACAGTGAGGTAACAGAGAGTACATGTAGAATCCCGCTTTGAAAGCTAATTTGGGGCTGATATGCTGTGAAAAGGAAAAAAGTATTGTTTTTTAAAGTATGGGTAGAGTTGTTTCTGCTGTTTTGAACCCATACTTTTGAAAAAGATTTTTTTTTTTATTTACCAAACACAATTTTAACCTCAACCCTTTTAAAAAGCGGCTTTAAAAAAAAAAATCTGCAATGCCAAACCGGTCCTGAGAGTGCTCCCTTAACATTTCTACTCGAACAAAATCAGAAGCACATCTGACGTCGACTAAATTATAGACCACATGTTGTCACCTGTTACGTAAGCATTTTTTCCATTTTTTCAGGTTGAGATCATTTTTCCATTATTGTTTCCCTTTGTTTCAAGTTCAAGTTTTTATTTATATGCTTGTTGCTGCACATGTTTTCCAGGTGGTAGAACGCCATCAACCCATAGTTACGCATAAAGTATTGCCATCATGGCACATGTTGAAAACTGTGGTAACGAGAAAAACTTTCTTACACCTCGATACGTCATTATCACACGTTGAAATACCGCTCAACACGCAATATTATGTGCAAACGCCACCGTCGCACTGTGGCAAAAAATGAAAATACATTTGCGTTGTTAGTAATTCACGACAGTGTATTGAGAATATTGATAAGTTTTAGTCCACGATAATAATAGAAATTTCAAGAGTAAATTACATAAAATTATCTCAATTATAGACCGAATCACAATTTCATACCTTATATTTTAAACATTGTAATGTTATACCTCAACTTATAAATTCATTACAATGTTAAACCTCCGTTAAAAAATCTGTCAATTGCTGACGTCGCAGATTCGTTTTAGTTTGTCTTCTCTGTTCATCGGCACATGGACTGACATTCAAATTGAAAAAAAAAAAAAAAAAAAAAAAAAAAAAAACTAAAAATAAAAAAATTAAAAAATGAAAAAGGTTGGCGCGGAACCTTCTTTTCCTTCCATCGTGCTTCCCAGAACATCCTCATCAACGCTTCCCCGCCACCCTCCCGACCTCCCAACCTCAATACCTCGACCTTACCGAAGATTAGAGTCGGCGATCAGATTCACCCAATCCCCTCATTCTAATTTCGATTTCCTAGGGTTTCCCCAAAACCCTTATCCCTTTTCCTCTCCCCCGTATCCATTTCCCCATTCGCTGGAAACCAATTCCCAGGAAACCTCGAGATTTCCGCCGAACCCTCCACCTCCACAGCTTCGTTGGAAACCAGAACGACCCCGACTCCGCCTCTCAACCAGGTCTCCGCCAATTCGCTCTGATACCCGCTCGTCTTCCTCGGAGTCGTGGCCGAACGGGTCTCCACCAAATCACGGAGTTGCATAATTGCAGCTATTTCATTCGAGCTCCAATTCGGATTGCTCGAGTCTCTTCCAGATTAAACCGATTCGACAATGATGGCAGAGGGACTTGTCATTTGGGGAAATCAAAATTGGGTTTTGCGGGTTCATGGGTTTTATTATTTTTCGTAATTTTTGCCTCGGTTGAGAGGATGAAGCAGGAGCAGAATTGGCTTGACGGGACAAACGAATGTGGATGTTGTGGTTGGTTGCAGACGAGATGCGGGTGCGGCGGGGATGGATTTGATGAGTTTGATTGCTGCTTTTTTGCTCGAATTGAAGAGACCCAGGAGGAAGGAAGGAAAAGAGGTTATTATTCGACCCATCGGGCTGTGGGAGGAGTCGGAGGGGGACGACGGGTGTTCTGAGGGGAAATGAGGGAGAGGATTCGGCCGGAGAGAATGAGAGGTAGAAGAGAAACTTCAAAAAAAAAAAATCCTGGAGGAAAAAATCAGTAGAGGGTGAAAAGAATTTTAGAAATAATCAAACGCCAGCGAGGACAATCCGGTGGCCGGAGAAGGAAGAGGACTTCGCCGGAGTTACGAAGGCGAGGATGGCGTCTGGTGTGGGAGAAGGAGAATGCACGGTGGTGGTGATGGTGAATGAGGTGCTAAGCTTAGTGGTGGGACCCTATTCAATATTTTAATTTTTTTTGTTAAAAAAATTCTTAATTTTTAATATTGAATTAATTTATCCATCCAGTTTGATGAGTGAGGCAACCTATTAGCTGCCACGTAAGCGGTTAATAGAAAAATTGACAGATTTTTTTAACTGATGTCTGATATTGCAACGGATTCATAAATTGAGGTATAACGTTGTAATATTTAAAATATAATAAATGAAATTATAGTTCGGTCTATAATTAAAGTAATTTTATGGCAATTTACCCAAGCTTCAATAAGACAATCTCAATTAGACTAATATGAAGTTGTGTGAAATCAAATACACTATTGTTGTGGATGATGTAGTTAAAACACTATTTAAAGAAAATCAAGACATTTTCCACGTGTCGTCATCATGGTGATTTAATCAGACGGATCATAATGGACAGGGGGTGCATGCATATCATACAGGTGTAATTCTCAGATGATGTACGGATCATAATGGAAACCTGCGTCGAGAGGCGGCAGTCACCGCCACGTCACCATTGCCATTATCGACAACTCCTCCAAAAATAAAACAAATAATTGAAAAACTGAAAATTTAAATTTAAAAAAAAAAATAAAAAAAGGAGGAAGAACACCAGAATATTCAATTCAAAACTGATCGGCTCCGATTATCGTATTTCCTCTCGGAATACATTATTCACTTATCACTTCTAATTACGAGTACTAATTTGCTATTAGTTGAACAAAATCTCTCTCTCTCTTTCTCATAGATTTCTCTCTCATAGGTTAATAGTACTTAGACAAAAAGGTTCAGAAGCTTGCGATCCTTCAGATCGCCGCCACCGCTTTCAAAGGTCCTCGTCGTTGTCGTAGTCATCACTGACTCCTCCGAATCAAACGACACCGTATCCCTCCGCCGCTGATCCATCGCGGCACTTACGCAGATCCACATTCCCCTCCCTCTTCCTCTCTCTGCCGCCACGAGATTCGGCTTCAGAGAGAGCCCCGCCGCCTCGAACGGCTGGATTCGCTCCGCGTCGTAGTATGCCGACGCCGACGGGCAGTAGCGGTTTTTCGGCGTGCATGAGCCTCTGCTGAACGAGTCCGAAGACTCGTCGAGGGTAGGCGTAGTGAAAGCCTGTAACGGCCTCAAAGCGCCGCCGCAGAGCACCGTTTCGACCGCCGACTGGCACACGTGCCAGTTCCCGCTCGACAGAAGCCCCACCGCTCCGTTCACCGGGTTCACCGTGCGGCCGCACGCTTCGAACAGCAGAGACTGAAACAGAGCTGATCGAGAAAAAGGAAAAATATGGATTAATTAATGGCAAATATTAATCGTGTAAAATTATTGCAATATTGTTTAATTAATTGATTGATTGTTTACCAGGGCGTTGGTTTTCCGGTACGGCGGAGACGAAGGAGAGTAGATCGCTGCGGCCAAAGAACTTGGCAAGGAACAGGGTGGCGTTGCCTTGGGCTTCGGGAGAGTCGATCCAGTACAGGCACGACCTCAGTATGCATGTGTCGCTGCATCCCTTCCGGAGCACTCGGCAGCCGTTGCAGCTCATCTCCACCGTCCGATCGGCCTCCCTCCAAAACAAATCAAATCAAAGGTGAGTGATGAAATCTCTCTCTGAGTTGAAAGTTGTTTGGTTTGTTGAGTTTGTTGAGGGGAGGGAGTGAGAGTGTGGGTCTTGAAGCTACGCTTTGGTATTTAGAGAAGCAGGAAGAAGAAACTAGAGAGAGACTAGAAGAGAGAGAGAGAGAGAGAGAGAGAGGAGAGAGAAGAAACTGTGGTTGAGTTTAGGAGTTTAGTGAATGTTTTCCGCATTCGCTTTTCATCATCCTCCTCTTTATTTTGTCTTTGAAATGAATAAATAATATAACAAGAATATGAAAACAAATTGCAGTAGTTAACCATAATTATTTTCTTCCCTGATTGACTAGTTTGATATCAAAATTATGTAGTATACGTGATTTTTTTTTTCTCTTATGAATGATAAGTTCGACACTAAAATTATAGTAATTCATTCTAGTATGTGGGTTAGCCTAAATGTCTTACTCTAATATAAATTAGCATGCCAGCACACACAAAGAGTGTAAGAATTTTTTTTACTTTTGAATCAGGAGAGAGGAAGAGAGTGATAGAGAATGTGGAGTTGGAAGTTTCTTTTATTTTTAAATTTTTATTAATTAGAGATATGTTAGGATTACATGTAGGTGAGGTTTTGAAAAAAAAAAAAAAAAAAGAAGCAAAATTTGGTTGTGTGTGAAATTACATTTTTGCCCCATATTGCTTATTTATGTTCTGTTTTAATTAAATGGTTAAACTGGTAATTTCATAGGATTTTGATTCACAATGAGTATTTTATTAATTAGTAGATATAATATGTTTTAAAAAATGACTTGTATAAAATGGACCCACCATTCAAGGGAGGAGCTAGGACTTTTTTCTTGGGTGGGCTAGCTGAAATTAGTATCATAAAATCATATGTTTTTTTTTGTTAAATAAAATTATATAACAATCAATATAAAAGAACAACAATAGAATATAATCAATTCTTAAAATCATAACCCTAACTAACAACTTCAAGGACCATATAAATAATTAACCTACTAAATGAATCAAGAATAAGTAAATAAAGCGATTAAGAACATATCTAAGGTTGCATTCATTAGAAAATTGCAACGAAAAGTAAACAATTGCAAAGATAGGGATTTAATTGTAAACTAAAAGAAAATTATTTTTCTTTTCTTGAGTAAGAAGTAGGAAGGCTAAATCGCATAGGGTAAATGATCGTTTTCTTTAGTGAGAATGGGGGAGGGAAGATAGAACTAATTTATTACTTGTAGCATAAAAACTATAATTTATTACATATCCTCAAATAAATATACATTAAATAATAACCTATATTGGAATTGAGTGGGCTATATAGGCTACATGCATTAACATAAGCCATTAAAGCATGAGTTTAAAAAATGATAGTATTATTCACACACCTTTATTAATTTTTTGTCGTTGATCTTTGTCGATTCACTCAATCTGAAGGTAGAAAACTGAGAGGGATGTGTGAGAAATATAAATGAGTGTAGATAGCACTATACTTACAAAAAAACCTCCCTAAACTACAATCCACCTTAGCCTTGTGGTTGGCTCCCCTCGTACCACCATTACTGTTCATGACGAAGTCAGCTAAGGCCCACTGATGTCCCACTTAAAATTTTGGGCAAGTTAAAGATCATCATGCTTATAGAAGGGGCAGGGAACGTATTTGCTATATTATTCATGCTTCTTTAATTGATTTGTTGAAATTTTCAAATAATATGTATAATAATAAGCAATTATTATGATAAAATGTCTACAATTTAGCTTAATGAAACTTAAAAAAGTACAGAAGATATTCTACTGTCATAAAAAACAACTCTCAAGTACAATTGGAGGTTTGGTCGCCCTTGCTAAAAATGTTTCTAGCTCCGTCTCTTAGTTATCGTAATGTCCAAATTTAATAATATAACATACATCAAGTGTGTTTTTTATATCAAATTATAATATTTCTGAAACTGAAACATTGCGTGGGGACCCACGAGGGTCCTGTCGAGGCGATATCTTCCAAACTCTGGGCGAGACAGAGCGGCTCCGTGTTTCCGCGACTATTTCTGACCCGATCTGACCGTCGGATCGCGGGGTTTGATTGGGCTTTTGCCGTTGGATTAGCACCACGGTCGCTTTTTAATTATTGTTAAAGTGGGTTGAGGAAGAAGTGTTGGGGTGGGTGCCCAACTGCAAACTCGGCGCACGCAGCTTTGAAGGCAGAGAGAAACACAAGACACTACGAGTTCCGATGCGTAGACCGTCAATGACACCCTTCCTTATTCCTTCCCCCGTTGCCTTTACATGACTAAACTAAATTATAATCGCACCTTCCTATATTTTACTCCCTCAATTTTTGCCTCGTGACTAATTTATTTTTTTAAAGAAAACTAGGTGTTTTTGTCATAATAATTCATTATTTCGGAAGTCGAAATGACTCACAAACGTATTTCAACATTTTCTGATTACTATCGTGTAACTCACAAACGTTAAGATATGGGTCTGAATTCGTTTTAATAATTATTCAATTGGTTATTTGATGGTATGATGAAAAGAAAAACTTGAACAATCCATAGGCTAATCAATAGTAATATTACGAATAATTATTTGATTTAGCGACATAAATTTTTGTTTATACTAGAAAGAGGTGGTTGTTGACAAAGAAAATTCAAATAAATGTCGTGCTAACTAATAAAAGCAAATGAATGTGGGAGCAAAATTTATTCCTCAAGAAATCAATTAAATTCGGGAAAGTAGAGCCTCGATCATGCAAGCAAGATGCTACAATATCCCACTATCATGCCATGGCGGAATAAGCTTGTGGTTTAATCAACTCGCGTAGGAAGATAGAGAAAAGAGGTACAAAAGTGTTCAAAATTCTATGACAATCATCACAAACGCTAACTAACTTGAACATCAAAGTGTCTTTTACAGGTACACCTCCTTATTTTGTTCTTGGTGGCAAGCGAAAATGGTGTCTAAAGTTTTTTGTTGCGACTACAAAATTACTGGCTTCAAGATTAGAAGATCGAGTTTTTTGTACAATTTTGAAGCTTCAGTTTACCAGCACGGCCTTGTAGAAATTTGCATGCAAAGTTTTAGCTGCAAATGGGCTGAGCTTAGAACTTTATTCATCAGTCACAACGGAAAGGGTTGGTCCATTTGACTTGTCTAAGATGGGAAATAAGTTGGCCCGCGGTTCAATCCAATTGTTGGGTCGGACTGGGCTACACAATCACAATCGTTGTGCTCTTTTTCTTTTAATCAAATCATAATCGTGATGTTTACCCCCAAAAAATCATAATTTTTTTTTTTTTGAAAAAGATGTTTTCTTTGTATGTTTTTATAGCCGCGAGCTACTGTCTACCTAGTTCGGCTATTCAGCTCTTCGAGTTCTTGCTGCATGGACTTCGATTGGAGGCGTGCTTTGGGTTTTGGTGATGCTATTAGAATTATGGAGCACTTTTAGCATGTGTGGCTTGCCCACCCCCATTTTCCATTCCTCCATTGAGTTCGTTGGTTCTTCATCCCGGTGGTGCGGCTATTTTGGTGGAGGAGGTTGGTTCGCGTTTCCATATCTTGGATTTTTGGCTTAGAGATTGTTATGGCTCACTTTTAGTGTTTGTTTTCTTATTTTACTTTTGTATTATAATACACTTTTACTTTAGTGTACCGAAAGTAAGTATTTCTAACAGTCATAAACATCAAACCACTACTCCAATGGGCTTCAATAAAAAACTTTTTCCAAGAAAACATATGACAATACGCTTTAGAGTAATAGTTAAAAATAAAAAGAGCATCGCACATACTACAATTACAAGTCAAATAAAAGAATCAAGTCCACCCGAAAGCTCTCCTTATCATGAACAAACATCCCACGCCAAAACACTGAAACAAACGAGAAAAGGAATATAATTTCTTTGTCCATATTTAAATCAAAATATCATTTTCCATTGATCTTTTTATTTCAAATTACTTTGCTTTCAATCATGACTACTTTATATACCAAAAATTAGTCTTACATGGTAAATCCACCTCACCCCACACAGATTACTAAAAATAAAAATATAAAATATGGATTTTGGTTGTTGGAGGTAATTCCTAAGTGGGGAAGCAGTTTTGGCGGTGGATACAGAAGCCACGTGTCATCTCAGAGATGAAAAGATCTCTAGTTCCATCCTATGTGGGCAAGGGCAACAATAGAACTTTCTTCCCTGTGCCAAAAGAGTCACAACCCACTACATAGTGGTCCTGCTTCGAAGACACGTTACTAAGAGCATCTTCAATAGACTTTATCATCTATGAGGTTATTATATTTTTAGCTTTAGCAAGAAATTTCATCTTTAATGAGTCGAAAAATGAGACTAGATCCATCATTAGGGTTAGCAACTTCTTTCTTGGATAGTATAAAATCGGGCTACATCTAGTCCCAAAAGATAGTGGGTTCCACAAAAAAGTAGTAACCCATGTGAGCAAAATTCTATCACTCTCCCTCCACTTGCAAATACACATATACTCTCCTTTTATTATTTTTTAAATTCTTTGTTCTTACTTATTTTTCTTGCAATTTGGCTAATTAATGATTGTTTTAAATTCCATAAGAATTAAAATTTCAAATTGATTTAACATTCATGGGCATTGATGTGTGAAATTTTCAAATATTTTTTTCAAAATTGTATGATACCAATTTACTAATTGGTGCTAGGTAAATTGTTGTGTTATACGTGAAAATCAAATTATTTCAAAGGGCGAAGTGGGGGTTTGTTTCTTTCAACGAATGAGATTGAGACAAGGGAATCTAGTTCAACGAACGATTCATAAGTGATGAAATCTAACTTTGTCACAATTTGAACTTTTTAGCTTGAAGGGTTCACAAAAAAAAGAATTTAAGATAGCACGTCCAAAAATCAATTTAAGAAAAGCTAACACAAAAAAAAAAAAAAAAAAAAAAATTCATCGCTTAATCAAATTACAATATAAATAAATATATATAGCCCATAGAGTCCGAAAGATATAGCCCCTCATTAAGAGAGATTCTTTTATAAAGCCCTAAAGATTCCTCAGAGCTCTAAAATGGGCTATATCCGTCACTTTTCTAGCCCCATATAGAGCCCCTCACTGGGGATGCTCTAAATACTTAAATGTACAGCGATTGTGATAATATTTTAAATTAACAACTGTAATGTTACCTGATTAAATTTTAACTCTTTTTTTTTTTCACATATCATTTATTTTAATAATTTGAGATTTCATC